ATGTGTCAAAATACGACACAGAGACTACTCCTGCGGAAAATGTAAACGAAATTGTCGACATTCGGAGCACCGGCCGCTCGCTTTTCGCAATAAACGCGACGCGAACTCGATGACCGACTATCAACCGATATGCATAATAGAATAGACGCGTTATTACCTTTCGGGTTGACGAATTAGATGATGTCGTTTCGAAGCTTTTCGAATCGCCGCTTTGATTAACGAATCGTGGGGACAGGCCCCCCGCACACACACAGATGAAACACGGATTCTGGCACAGATTCTTTCACTGGCGACAAACCGCGCGAATCGATCGAACGCGCGCGCGCAAAAACAATAAAAGGAGAATGAAAAAAAAAATAAAATATCAACGGGCCAGCCGAAGCGCGTCGACGTCGACGGATGTGTCGTCCTCCTCTTAGACTCGCGAATTAGAGAATGGTTCAACAACACTGGCTGCGACGTTTTAGAGGACGGTGACGCGGCGATGGTCAACGAATTCGGCCGCGACTTGCACCGATCTGACGGAAAAAACACGGCCACGACACCTTGTTCTGGAAGGTCAACGACAAACAGTCAGTCGGCGGTGTTGTCGCGAAATTAGCGAGAAATTGCGAGAAACGGCGGGAATCCGATCCCGCGAACGGGGAAAACGGCGCTCGTCCCGTGCGCGCATCGCGTTGGCAGGAAAGTAATTTCGGTTGTTTCGATGTTAAAAAATTTTTCGAGAAACGTTTTTCAGAATTTTCAATTCAATTAGTAAGAGCTAAAATAACATGATCGAAAACAAACTCCACTAAACTTAGTTCCATTTTGGAGTTAAAAATGTGTTTTGTTCGCATTTATATGTACCGTATTAATAACAATATTAATACGATATAATAATAATATTAATATAATATTAATAATAATATTAATTAACAATATTAATACACACACACACACACACACATAAATAATAATATTAATATAAATTAATAATAATATAAATACGATATTATTAATATTAATTATAATATTATTATATAATATTTATTATATTAACATTAACAATAATCGTATTAATTCATCGGTTCGACAACAGGAGTTTAGTTGAGGTTAGAAACCGCGAGAAATATATTGTATATATATTTCTAGTTGCTCGCGGTTTCTAACCTCAACTAAACTGCCGTTGTCGAACCGATGAATTGATACGATTGGAAGATAAATATTCAAAGGGCCTAGTGTTTATTTTGTTTTTTCGCGTGCCGAACAATGTGCAATACAACTGTGTACATTGTCAAAGTTCCAGGCATTCGTTTACGTGTGATACGGGGATGGAAAGACAAAAACTTTATCTTTTATTTTCTCGGTGATTGCTGGACCGCGGATTTTATGCGTTTCTGGGAAAAAATCGGAAGATGAAATGCGAAACTGTGAAAACATTTGAAGAGTTTAAAAAGACTACTGCGTTACTATCGATTGCTATCGATTAATGCGAACTGTTTTTATTTTACGTAAAACTCCGCGGTCTAGTTATTACATAAGATAATTTAGACGAAATAGAGAAGCGAAGACGAAGCTGCAAATTAGCTTCCTTTAGGATACTTTTTCAGAATTTTCAATCGATTACCAAGGGCTAAAAAACGTAATTCATTTTTCAAGGGAGATTTTCACGAGCAACCCATTGTTTAAACAATTTGGAACGATGTTCTGGCATTTGTTTATTGTTCACGAAGGTTTCGAGATGATGTAATCGATGGAACATGGTTTCGTAATTTTTAAAATTTATTGAAACTCTCGGATCTCCGTTATTTTTATATATGTTACCGATCTTGACGTTTCGAATCGCGAAGAACAGCGTTTAACGCACTAACAAAAAAAACGTTCGAAATGGCACGGATGATAAAGATTCTTCATGCTTATCCTGTTAGACCATTTGCAAACTCTTCGACGCGAAATAAATTATGACGCATCTGTTTGCCAAATCGTGGCACTGTTCGCACATTGTTCACGCGTTTCAAAGCGATGCACAAGTTACGTAAATAATTCGCGAAATGAATTTGGATTTTGCAGTGCTACAGTGTCTCGTCAGACTCGGTTTTATGTATTGAATTGGCAGGAAAGTAATTTCGGCGTTTCAATGTGAAACGAAACTCAATTTTTTCTACACAAGAAATGAACTTTAATCGGTCAAATATTTTCCATTCTGTTAGATAACCTTTTG